TCCTATCAGGTGGTGAAATCGGAAGTTTTAATCAAACCCAGTTGGTTTTTTTTGAAGGTGGAGGAATCTGAAGCTTCACTGTGTGGTTTCAGGTTGAACTCTATCTGAAGCTGAAGGTTTTAAATGTTCTGCCGACGCCGTGGTGGGTGCAGAACAGCTTCAGACCTGAAACCTGAAACAAGCTGCCTTATTATTCCTGAGAATCACCTGGAGGTCTGTAACACAAAGGCTGCAGAGACACAACCCAGTCTCCACAAATCCCATCTCTACGCCACCAACCTGCTTCTCGGTCGTGTTGTTATCCTGACACTTAAACTTTACAATCTGTGGACGTTTACTTTCAGCTTTAACGGGCTTTCTGCAGAACCTCCTAGTTCAGGTGAACGTACCACATTTTCACTGCTGAGATTCTGCGGTGACGAATCCGTTTAACGCGTTTAATTCTAAACAAACAAATGCAACCAGGAAGAAAATCTATTAATCATGATGCCGTTTTGTGGAGAGACTGGGTCCAGAAAAAGTGGAACAAAAACCCTGAACTCAGGAGTCGTGCAGGGCAAAAAGTTTAAAAAAAAAAAATTAAAATTAAAAATCTGAATTCTTTAGATTTTCTTTGGTGTAGTTTTGCAGAAGAGACGTTTGGTTCAAACACTTGGAGATTTATTGATTCCAGTGTAATATGACACTGCAGCTGGTTAGCTTAGCCTAGCTTAGCATTAAGACCAATAATGCTAACCACATACTCCAGGCAGCATCGCTAAAACTCGATGATTAAAGTTCTGAAAATATAAACTAAAGCCAACAACAAATCGTCTACAATTCTACAGACGAGATGAAGTGTGTTAATTAGCAACCGTTAGCACACCAGGCTAGCTCAATTAACCAGTTCGTTGTCAGCTACCAATCTATAATAATGAATATTTTTGGACAAAATTAGACTTTTTTTCACCTTTTTCTGACGTTGTATCGGCCGAACGAATAATCAGGAAAATAGCTGTAGTTGCTGCGCTTATGCTAAGCTAAGCTAATCGCCAAACTCTCAGCAAGAAAACAGATTAATTCACATCAGGTGATTGTCTTCAACCAGCCAGAATAGAAAAAAAATCCAATTTTTTTCAGTTTCAGCTAAATCAAAGAATTCCAAAATGGCCTCCGGAGCCGTTTGACCGTTTTTCATTTCTTCTTCTTCTTCTTCGGTGGTGCTTCAGATTCGTCCACCTTCTCGCTCTTGGCAGCGTTTGGTTTCTCCTCTCTTGGACTCTTGATTGTGTTGATTTGCTCTGCCGGGCCTTTGTACCTTCAGTAAACCAATGTGAAACCTGTATGTTCCTCATGATTTGACTCAGTGGAAGTGTGATGTTTACATGTACAGATTTTTGCGATTCTTTCTGGTTTTATTTTTTGGTTTATTTTTCTTTCGGTTTCCTCTCATCTTTTTTCTCCCCTCCATCCCTGTTTTTATTTTAACTTCAGTTCATCCTTCCTTTTACACTCTGAAGGGAAATGGGACTAAACAAATTACCGCCATTTCTACACGCCTGTGGACGACGGGGACACGGTTCTGGGTTCTGGTCGGATTTTATTTTAGGGTTTAGCGTTTGTTTCAGACGAACGCTGGCCGCCCGAGTCCGGCTGAAGGCCTGAACGCGGCGTCCCCGTCCGAGCGGCGACCGTCCGGGAGGGTCGGGAGTCGAGTTGCGCGTTCGTTCGGCCTCCAGGTGGCGCCGACCCTCCACCGGGCCGACCAGAACCCGGCGGAGATGATTCCTCAGCGAATGATAAGCCATGACGGACCCGCGTGAGCGTCGGGTCTCTATTAGTATATTTAGCAAAACTTTAAAAAACTGCAGACGACAAAAACTCAACCTCAGGAAACGAAAAAGACAAAAAAAAAAAAGAAGGACGTCGCTTTTGTAAAAACACTGAAGGCCCATTTCCCTCTCTCTCTCTCTCTCTCTCTCCCTCTTTGATACCATATAAATTATATCAGAAGTTCTTTTTATATTTATTGTGTTTATTATTATTCTATATTCCAGTGGATCCTTTTTTCCAGTACCTGTGGCTGAATATTTTGATTCTTTAGAAAAGTGTTGATAATATATGTGAAGCAAATGAAACGATCGAGGATTTAAAAAAAGAAGAAGAAGAACGTAGGGTTCTTTATTTTTGTTTTTTCCGTTTGTTGGCGTTTGTTGGGCCCAACAATGAGAACATATCACTCTGGTCCATGACAAAGAAACCAATGATTGAACAACTGAGCTTTCTTCTGTGTGATGTCACTGCTAAAGGCTGAAACGTTTCTGGACTGAAAAAAAATCATTGTGACTCTTTAGTTTAGTTTTTTTGTTTGTTTTTTGTTTTCTTCGTTTTGGATTTTTTTGTTTGTTTGTTTCCTCCCGAGCTGTACGTCACAAAGCTAAATATACTAATAAAACGGTGTGCTATCTATCAGCCCGCTGCCTGCTGCCTCCGTCTGTCACACATCATCCACTGGCTTTATTTTGAAAGGGTGCAGAGGTCCAGGTCCTTGAAGTCCACAGAGGAGGGTCCAGATTGATCACTTTAATGGACTTTTTCCATCATTTCTGAGCCTCAGAACTTCATCAGTACAGCAGATAGACACATGACATTTAGGAGGAAGAACACATCTGACTAAAACAGCAAAAAAATGTGGACAAATTTCAAGTCATTTTGAAAAAAACAACTAAAATTTGTTCAAAAATGTGTCCAAAATCATTCAAAAATTTTCCATAATGACTCAGAATTTTGTCCAAAACTACTCAAGACGAGTAAAATAAGAAAACAAGACTTAAAATTGTCCAACATGATTAAAAAACAGTTCAAAATGACTAAAACTGAGGTCGCTGGTTGGCGTCCCGGTGAGGACACCCAGGATCTTCCTGCGTGGAGTCTCCATGTTCTCCCCGTGCAGCGTGGGTTCTCTCCGGGTTCTCCGGCTTCCTCCCACAGTCCAGAAACATGCTGAGGTTAATTGGTGATTGTAAATTGTCCGTAGGTGTGAATGTGAGTGTGCTTGGTTGTCTGTCTCTAAGTGTAGCCCTGTGATAGACTGGTTACCTGTCCAGGTGAACCTGCCTTCACCCTGAGTCAGCTGGGATAGACTCCGCCCCCCATAGTGAGGATTAAGGTGTAGAGATGATGGATGGATGGATGGATGACTAAAAGTGGTCCAGAATGACTCCAAATATATCCAAAATATTCAAATTTGGAACTGAGAATCTGTTTTAACAAATTATTATACGAGTCCTTCTGTTTCCCCCAAACTGAGCCTAAACTTTACCAGAATGCCTCCAACTCGTCCAAACTGTCTTGAAAGTTTCCCAAAACATTTTCCAAATTAACCTAAATTTATCCAAAATATCTCAAATAGGCTCCAAAATGATCCAGAATTTGATTTAAGAACAACTGGTTTTAAAATATTCTAAACATCAAAAAGAAGGTAGAATAAATGATAAATAATGTGTCCAGAACATGAAAATGGTCCATTTGTTAAGAAAATGTGCAGAATTACTAAAACAATCTGATCCCTGTTATCATCAGCTGGTAGCATCAGTATTATGGGATGTCTCACCGTGGTAACAGTGACATAGAGTCACAGGAACAGTCACTGGTACCCTGGATGTGGTTCTGGTTCTGATCAGTCACCAGAGGAAACGTTCCAGGCTCCTAGCAGCATGTGTGATGAACTAAACGAAGACCTGAGCTGATGCTGAGTCACTGTTTGAGATCTGCTCATGTGTTCAAAGGTGTGTCTGAGGGCTGAACCTCCACCTGACGCTGACGTCATCACCCGGTCCACGTCAGTAGATCTGATCTGAGGAGTCGACACCCAGCCAACATGGAGACGGATCAGCTGGAGGAACCAGAACTAAATTCTGCCTGAAACTGAAACCAGCTGCTGGTTCATCAGTGACATGAAACCATAAAACACACGATGCTCATGTTGTTAGAACTCCACCTGGATGGATGTAGAACTGATCTGGTGTCAGGTTCTAGCAGAACCCAGATGTGTTCTTCCTCCTAAATGTCATGTGTCTATCTGCTGTACTGATGAAGTTCTGAGGCTCAGAAATGATGGAAAAAGTCCATTAAAGTGATCAATCTGGACCCTCCTCTGTGGACTTGAAGGACCTGGACCTCTGGACTGAACCTGAGACTAAACTTAGTTTAGAGACTAAAGTCAGGATGGAGACCAGCTTCTGTCTGGAGTTAAAAGTAAACCGACCCACAACCGTTAAGGTCACTGATTAATATTCACACTATGAAGGTGGAGCTCTGCTTCGTTAAATAAAGGTGCTGCTGATACAGAACCAGCTGTTCTGAGGAGGTTCTGGGGGAACTTTGTTCAGATTTGATGACTCGTATTTTTTTGGGATAAATTTTCTACTGAAACAAAACAAACCAGTTGAAATATTTAAGAAGTTATTTCCAGAAGATTTTAATCGTTCAGCTGCAGACAGAACCTTGTTAGAAGCAGGTCTGAGGCGTGTTGGTCAGAACCACTGGATCTGTTCCCTGTTTCCTGAAACAAACTGAATTTCGAGGAATTCTGGAGCTGAAACCAAACGACGCCCTCTGATTGGTACTTGCCTCCCCCCTCTCCCCCCCTCCCCCCTCCGTCTCCTCCCTCCAGTGCGCAGGTGTGCGATCAGCCGGAGGTGTGCCGAGCGCCAAACCCAAACTTTTTACGCACCGTGCGGCCGCCTCACCTTCACCTGTCCCTCCTCCTCCTCCTCCTCCTCCTGCCGTCTCTCCGCTCCCCGCCGCCTCATTATGGATTAACGCCTCCCGGGGAGCCATGCTCGCATCCCCGCGCCGCGCCGCCGCCGCCGCCGCCGCCGCCGAGCTCTCGCAGGGAACCGATCCGACTTGGATGGCCTCCATTCCCGTTTCCGCATTCCCGCAGCCGCCGTGCGCACTGCAGGCGCGGAGCTCAGATCCGTGATCGGAACAGAAAAAACCGGTTCCTCCGGCTAATCTGGCCGCGAGCTGCTGGCGGGGCGATGTTTCCGTCCAGAGGCAGAGCCGGAACCCGGAGCACCGAGCGGCTGCTGAGGCCGTTTCCAGCGGACGGATAAAGCGCGTCCTATCGATCCGTCGCGATCCCTTCATGTCCCGGGATGGAGGGCTGCTGCCGCTCCTGTATGCCGTGCCTGGGCCGGCTCTGGAACTGGATCTGGCCCGAGTTCCGCTACCCGAACGTGCCGAACCACAACAATGTCATCGCGAACCCGGCGACGCAGGCGGCGGAGATCCGCACCGTGTCCGGGGACATCCGCGTGCCGTCGCCCAAGAAGCGGCCGGTGCAGCTGTACGCGGCGCTCTTCGACTTCGAGGCCCGCAGCGACGACGAGCTGACGGTGAAGGAGGGCGACAAGCTGTCGGTGCTGGAGAAGCGCGGAGAGTACGTGCTGGCCAAGAAGCTGACCGGGTCCCTGGAGTCCGGACTCATCCCCGCCAACTACGTGGCGCTGCTGCAGGACGAGTTCGCCAAACACAAGTGAGTGTCGGTTCTGTTGTCGGTCACCTGATCGCCCGGTACCGGTCCGGTCCGCTGCCTCGCCTGCAGGTGGAGGATCAGAGGCTGCAGGACGACCTGGTGTACGGTGTTTACGGTGTTTACGGTGTCCCGGAACCCTGTAGGGACTGAAATGGATCATCACCTGGACACCAGAACTACAGAAATACCACAGTCTGGTACAAGTACTGCAGTTTAATGTAACAATACTGCAGTTTTGATCTCATCCTGTTACAGTTTCTGGCCTCAGTTTGACAACATGTTCAGTATTTTCTGTATTTTCAGCGTTTAATGACGATATTTACATCATAAAATGTAATTTTACATAAATGTGGCTGAATTTTAATAATATGTCAACAAATAAATGAACAAATCATCATTATTTAACAGTTTAGGTCTGAAGGTGCAGGAAAATCTGCTAAATGTTGCTTCAATGTCCTGAAACGCTGTAAAAACTGAAATAATTCATCGCCTGAGGCACCAAGAACTGCATGAATATCATAGTCTCATAAAATACTGCAGTTTAATGTATAAAAACTGCAGTTTATTGTATAAATACTGCAGTTTAATGTATAAAAACTGCAATATAACTTGATCTAAATACAGTTTGTGGCCTTAAACACACTTCATGTCCATGTTCTGTGACCTCTGTTGTTTAATGAAGGTTATTTAAAGCCTCTGAATGTGGCTGGATAACGTAGATTTGCACCTATTTATAGGATTTGATGTAAAACTAAAGCAGTCAGATCTGATCTGGACTCAGTCTGCAGGTGGACGATCAGAAACTGGAGGATAATCTGCTGAATGGTGCCTGAAACGCTGTAAAAACTGAAATAATTCATCATGTAGGCACCAAAACTACAGTAATTTAATAGTGTCATAAGAAATACTGCAGTTTAATATAAACTAGTGCAGTTTTGATCTCATCCTAACACAGTGTTTGGCCTTCAAATGACAGAAGATGAAGATGTTCACATTATAAAATGGGATTTTCCTCTAAGTGTGGTTGAATATTAATAATATGTACAAGAAATAAATGTAAAATCATCGTTATTTAACCGTTTGGGTGCAGTAAAGTTGATTAAATGTTGCTTAAATTACCTTAAATGCTGCAATAATTCATCATCGAGGCACCAAAAACTCCATTAATCACCTCAAAATCCTGCAGTTGAACTTCATTTAAATTCCGTTTCTGGCCTTAAATGCACATAAATGATGTTATTTATTGACTTTTCAGTGTTTAATGAAGAAAATAATTATGATGTAAAACTGGCATAAATAGACTGAAGAACATTAAAATGCAAATAAGTTGATAGTGTTAGAAAAACCAGTAAATCAGTTTTTAAAATGCAAGAATTTGGTATAAATTTTAGATCATTTTAAGAACTTTATTATTATTATTGTTAAAAATGTCTTTTTAAAATAAAGCACCATGCAAACATGACAGAATAATGTTTTAATATCAGCAATTACAAAATAAAATGTTGGAAAAAAACAAGCAGCTCAGGAAACATAACATAAAGAATCTATAAACTGTGCAGGACTTAAAGGAGGATTTAAAACTGATCCAAGTTTGTTTTTGAATCCAGGTTTTAAAAATCCGTCAGATGAACAAACGTCGTTTTAAAACTCAAACTTTACTTCATGTGACGTCAAATTCACGTCAGATTTTTATGATTTGAATCCAGACGAGTGTTTTTTTGACGCTATTCTGACGTTTTGACATGAAACCAACGTCATGAAGCCTCATTATCAATAACGAGCTTTCTGCCACATGCAGCTGATTAAATGAATTTAAACTCTCTTGTTGTTAATGATCAGGTTCATGTTTGGTTCTGGTTCAGTCAGAACGTTGAACACAGTTTAGTTTGTCCAACAAAGAGGTTTGGGTCTTTGAGGAGTCCTGTTGTGGAGACAGAGCTCATGACGGACTCGGTATCGGACCTCCTCCTCCTCCTCCTCCTCCGGCGCTGATCCGGAGCTCGGCGTCTGGAGGAAGCTGCTGCAGGAGCCGAGCGCCGGCCTGCAGCTCCTCCATTATTCATCCACCTGCAGGGACTCGTCACGTTTCACAGCTCCGAGCTTCACCGTCCCGACGTCCCTGAACGCACCGCCGACACCCAGACCGAGTCGGAGGATAAAACCGAGACGACGGCTGGGTTCTGTTTGAAAGTTCTGATGATAAACCTGCTTTGTGGGGACCTCGCTGGCACAGGAAGCCTCGTTTATGGATTTAAATCATGTTTGGACTCATTTAGAGTAAAAAGAACATGAAGGACACGATGAAGCAGATTTTTGTTTTGATTTTGTCACATTTTTAGATCAACTTCTGCTCAACTGTCCCTGAATTCAGCATCAACACGGACGCTGGTGACGACACGTGTGGTTGTTTTAGTTCACTGAGATCAGTTCTAACGTGACTTTAAGGCTTGAAGTCTTTGGCTTCGTGTCGTTTTGGCTTTTTTCTCCGGTTTCAAGGCACCAGCTGATCATCTAGAGATGCTCAACCTCTGATCTTCCTCCTTGATGAGCATCTGCTGACATGAGCAGGGCAGCTTTAGCTGCAAAGCTAATAAATAAAAACAGCAACAAAACGCTCGTCGTGGCTTCACGGAGACGAAGCCGACGTCTCGGAACAACTCGATTTGTCTTTAAACGGAACAAAACCCCAAAACTTTAGAAAAACAAACACCAGAATTTCCAAACTGACTCCAAACCCGTCCAGCACCAGGTGAAGACATCCAGAATGTGTTGAAAGGGATTAAAAAATGAACTAAACTTTGTCCAAAATGACTCCAAACTGGTTCAAAATGACTAAAAACGTGTTCAAAACCAATCCAGCTGCATGAACATGGTTCTACAACGAGGTGAGAACAGCAGAACCTTCTCAGTTCTGGACCTCTGGACTGTGTCTATCTCTGTCTGCATCATGGCTCCACATGGAGAAGACCTGAACAGAGGAGGAGAAACATCTGATGCTCAAAATGGATCAAAATGTCTTGAAACTGGTCCCAGATGACTCACAGTTTGTTCAAAACAAGTAAAAATGGTCCAAAATGTTCCTGAAATGACTCTAAACTCATCTGAAGTAACTCAGAATTCATCAGAAACAAGCAAACATGGTCCAGAGTGACTCAACATTTTGTCTAAATGACTTTAAATTTGATCTAAAATGACCCGACATGGAGAAGACCTGATCAAACATCTGACTGGACAAAGATGGAGAAGGATCCAGAAGACCAGTGAGCAGCTAGAACCCAGTGCAGCCCAGTGTGAGCAGGAACCAGGAGGTCCAGAAGGAGCCACAGCAGCACTGATCAGGGCTGCAGTGGTCGTCCTCCTACAA